AACACAGACTGAGTGGGTTACGCTGCCTGAAACACAGACATTAATAGCAAGTATTTCACTCTAATTAAACGTTGCTCGTTTGCAGAAAGTAACTCTGCAGGTTTGTGTGGTCTGTTTACCAAAAATGTGAATCACTACGGTATGATAATGAAGCATACATCTTTATAACCATCTATCTATTTAGCTCCGTTGTCCAGTTTCATTTTGACTCACTCACCTGGTCCAATAAGCAATCAGTGTTGGAGAGGTCAAGGGTTGCCAGGCTGTTTGGCTGGCCGAGGAAGTGGTAGAAGTGCTAAAAAATAAAGCATAAGAACAACCTAGTGTGGGAACAGAGTGTCACCGTATTTATGTGTCTGCTGGTGGATGCAGAGCGTTCATAAATCTGATTTCAACCCATTTTTGTTGGATTTGAAGGAATGTGGCAGAGTTTCACTTGTCCTCTCGATCACTAAGTGATGAGCTGCAGTGCACTGCAGCCAACAGGGTGGGACGGAAAATTTGCATCACTGGCCCGCTCAACTTGCTTTAGTGCCAGTTTCCAGATGCCAAAAGTTCTGCTCTATAGCTCGTTCGAGAATCTGGATCTCGCTCTATCCAATTTTCAGGCTAAGCATCAATCCCACTTCTGACCCTATTATTGCAAACCCATGTTGAAGAAAGAGTTGCGAGACAGAAAACTCTTTTTCTATTCGCAATGCCTTTGCTCTGTTCACCGCTCGACTCCAGCTTTAGCACTGACACCCACGAGCACACAGGAACATTGACCAGAAGCAATAACTGTTACAACACTGCAACTTAACACATTAACACTGACATGAACAGACCAGGAATTGTGAATTTTATTAGCACCAGATATTTAATCGCTGATTTTTAAACTACGTTTGTAATCAAATCCAAGCAAGAATGCAAGAAATACTAAACTATTCCTTTCTCATCTGTCAGTGCTGCAACACATTTAAATAATGCGTATGTGTTTGTCTTTACTTTTAACTAAGAACTCAGTCAGTGACCCCCTGAAAACCACCGTTGTTATGGAAAAGTGTGCATTTCCTGATCGGTTAGCAAGTGGTTGCTTAAGGTGGCTGGCAGTCGCAAACTGAACTCAATCGAGAACCTCACTGTGATTGCTTTGGTTCATGGAAGCTGCCAACTTGTCTGCAAATACTCATCATTTACCTCCCAAGCTGCACAGACATTTGAAAGACTGCTACACAAACTGGAAGTATAGTAAAACCTGTGCCTTGTTGTGCAACAAACACATTTCAAAAGTGCACTGCTTTTACTTTGAAGGTAAATGGTTTCCTTTCTGGTTGTAGTGGAGTTTGCAGGTGTTTGCAGACAAGTTGGGGTAGGGATCCAAACTGATGAAGACTGCTCTACTCTGGTTAATTAAGCAAATTAATGCCCCTTCAGACACTAATGAAATTTTCTTTAAATTTCTAATAAACTATTAATATTTATTTCATGAATGAAAAAAAATCAAAGATAAATGATTTACACAAAACTGACAATTTTTTCCCCATACGGCCACAGTTTATGTTCAGTACCTGCATGTCGTCTCCTCGGAGCATGTTCCCTGAGAGGTCCAGATGGACTAGGCTGCTGGGGATGGACGGGTTGGCACTCAGTGACTGGCAAAGGCTATTCACCCCTATAACACAAACACACACAAAACAAGCACTGTCAGTGTTATCACAGCTCTCAAATCTCCACTTGATGTTTTGACAGTATATTGAAGGAAATGGCAGGAAATGAGCAGTGGGAGAAGACCGGAAAGAACGGGCTCAGAACGTCGAGTGAGTGCATGGAAAACAAAACAAGTAGGCCTCCACGCAGTTCTGTAAATGCAATCCACAATTCCAATAAAAACCTATCAAAATAAACACAGTAAAGACGATATTACTTAATAAATATATTGAAAAAGATATCTTGCAATAAATATACTGAAAAAGCCCCACAAAAACTAATCTTTATGCAACCAGTGTGTGTTTGCCAGAGTTAAAATGCATGTGGCATGCACGTCTATGCACGCCTGCATGCATTTCCACAGCTTATTATTGACACACTGCGCACGCAACCACTGACCTGTGTCACATCACATCGCATGGCTGACATGGTACTCTGACACTTTAATACTATGAAGTCCTGACTGACTGTGTCAGCCTGTAAATCAAGGCGTGACTGTCAAATAAATGCTTTGATGAAGAGATGAAAAAGAATGAGATTAAAGACAAATGAGAGTAAGAAAAAGGACAATCAAAAAATCAAATGAGCAAATTGCTGAATTATGTGCTGCAGCAAAGCTGTTTTAAAAAACCCAAACAAACAAAAAAAAGAAAGAGTAAATGTCCCCAATCTGCAGCTTTTGCTCTTGGCATGGAGTCACAAATTATGGATTGAACCTTCAGCAAGGCAGAGCTCAGTTTAAGCAGCCTTACTAACTCAGCATGTGGAATATGATAGCTTTTTATTGATTGCCTGAAAAAAAGCAGGTTTACAATGAATTCCTATAGACCAGCACGGCGCTGAATAGTTTATTTTGGATGATAACCAAGAAATAAATAGCCTTAAATACAATCAGCCTCTTGGCACTATTTATTAAAGGAAGGACTTTGGTCTACAGACTGAAGGGGAAAGTGGTTTAGAGAATAGCATTTATGCAAATGAAAACATGAACACTGTTTACAATTTCTTCCCTTTCCATGCATCTCTCTATAATAGTGTTAATAGTGTGATAATTAAGTCTCATTAGCATCCCAACAGTGGGTGTGATGACATTAGTGGAGGAAATTAACTGCATCTTTCACTTATGCAAAAACAGAAAGAAAAACAAGTGATTACAGCACGATATTTGTATCATATGTCCTTTTAACCAATCTGTTACTTTTGCTACAATCTTGCAATTGGATCCACGGATCGCTTTAACATTTCAACAACTCTGCAGATGCAAACACCAAGGGAAAACAGCACATACCTTTGGGTGAGAGTGAGGTTTTGGAAAAGTTTAAATGTTTGAGCCCCAAACGGAGTTTGGCAAACTGAGCACCCAGTGAGGAAACACCTGCAACGAGAGAAGAATTTATTCAACACAGGTCTATCTTAACTGTCCATGAATGCTTGGGTATTTGTTACCTGAAAAATAAAGCATTACACCACATTGCAATAAAAAAACAAACAAACAACTGCTTAGTTTATATGACAATATAGTTACAGTTATGAGAATGAGCCACCTTTTATTTTAAATATTATTATTTATTTTAAGGTATAGTATGGGAAAAATCAGTCACAGTAACTAATACTCAGGTATTGTAGTTAATGTCATACACAGTAATTGTATGAAATGATACGTTTATATACATATATATGTCTATGAAGGGCATATTCACCAAATATTTGTAATAAATTTTACATGATGACAAATAAACTAGAGACTGGTGAGCCCCAGACATCTGTTGCATGTTTACAAGCGTCTGTATGAATATTTGGTGGAATGCATCTTTAATTCATGTGTCCTGGATAAACTGAGAGGCCTTAGGACAGAGCTGATGAAATATTAAAATGTTGCACTAACTGCACAATCACAATGGAACATAAACCGTCTGTATGATCACTTACTCTGGCTGTGTCAGGCTGTGGTGTTTGTACTATAGAGCTGTCCTTTCACTCTACCTGCATGTCGTTTTATTTGTTTTCTATCCGTTTGGATTTGTTTGCCATTTCTAGTCTTCTCAATTCGAACTGTACAGCTTCCCCGCCTCCTGATTCCAATGTCAGAGCCAATGCAATTACGTCATATATTACTATATTTAAAAGAATGCTGTAACCATTTGTAACCTGTGAAAATTGTATTTTGATATTACAGAGCAGAGGTGAAACACAGCCTTTAGAGAGGAGAAAGAAGAAGATCACAGAGAAATACATTAAACTAGATCTGAGCATCTATACCTCTGTCCTCCAGTGGGTTGTTGGCAAGATTAATAGTGGTGAGTCCTGAGCTGGGGTTGTGGGCCAGAGCAGCAGCTAGCTTCTGGGCAAAATCGCTGTAGATTGTGAAAGGATGTATTCATTACAGGTCTATAAACAACGTAAGCACCAAACAAAGACCTTCAGAATGCTTCAGCGCCTTTGATGTTGCTTTTACAGTAGCGGGAAAGAAAAGCTTACAGAAAGTGAACTGAAATATTAGATTGGGACTGCTAAAAAAGCTATCCAATATTTTTAAAGAAGCGAATACTAGAACAGCACGGCAAAGCTCCCATTTCAACACTAAACAGATTAACAAAACTGGATCCAGTAATGTGATGCACAGCCATTTCCTTCACACATCTGACGGAAGCTAAATCAAATTAACATCCCGGTACCCTCTGCAATGTTGCTGCAGTTTTCCGTATGTAGGTCTCGGTCTTCCCATAGGTTTGAATCTGAAAATACTGAGTCGGTGCATGACAATGCTTCAAACACATTAACAGTTTTCTCTTGCTGTGACACTCATTAAAAATGGGCTTTATTACTATGATATCAAGCAGGTATAAAACTAAATTACACTAAATCATAAATCTGACCCAAGTAATGTCCGACCTGTCAATATAAAAGGTCACTCCTCAGATTTAATATTGCACTTCCATATAGCACAGACACTTTTGACTAAGAGATTAAAAGGGTAGGTTGAAAAGGATAAATCACCTCCCATAATGTAAGGTAGCATTTTTAGCTGTATTCATTCTGGATGCAAACCTTGGATTTTCAAAATAAATAGTTTTCCTCAAAATTTGTTCACTCAATAGCAAAAAAAACTAAAAATCTTTCGAAATTAGAGAGTCACATCATAATTCTCCCTATATTTTCAATTCATTAAACTCATTTTAATCCGTTATTAAGCGACCTTGGAGTTCTGAGATTTGAAATTGCGCTAATGATTACATATGTGTACTGTCTTAGCTACCTTTTAATTGTCTTTGACATTTAAAAATGTCTTTAATATTTCGGATTTTCTTACGTTTTGAGTCCTGCATTGTCCAGGACCAACTCCTCCAGTCGACTGGATCGAGACACCACCCGAAGGATCTGCTCACACACATCTGCAGACTGAAGACGAACATATGTCAGAGCATTTTGGTAACAGCTGTGCAAAAGTCTTGAGCCTCACATTTCATTATGTTTTTAAGTGTTAGTACAATTTTGGTTCAAATCATCATCTCT